AGCAGATAAATGTGCTGAACAGTTGATAGAGATAAAGTCTCTTAAGGCATTGGTGAGTTTCTCCATTAGTCTTTGAATATAGTTAGCTTTCCTTCTAATGGATCCATGTTTGTTGATTTTTTTCACCATTTAAATATAGGATTTTCTTTTTCCAGCTTCATCAATGCTTTTAATCTACCTTTGTCTGTGTCAGTTTGTATCAACTCCTCTACATGCAGGTTCTTCGTACATGTGTACCTGCTGTTTAATTCTAATTCTATCAAATTTTACAATTTAAGCTTCAATTCCTTAACAGACTCATAAAATTACCCTGTAAGCTGTGTTTCCCAGAAAAATAAACTTTTTATGTATTTGTTTGCCTGGGCACCTTCAATGGAAAATGCCATAGCGTGATCTTTATGTCAAGCTATGGAAGCATTATATAATGACATCCTTGAGGGTAGTTTGTCCAATTTAATCATGGAACTAATTATTCTGGTGAAACCATATAGTTCGTTTCTAGTGGAAGGTCATGAATGTATAAAATATGAATATGCACAAGAAAATAGGGAACAGCGTATGCAGATATTGGTACTCAAACTATGAGTCATTAGTGCATTTTGTCCATTTTGAATTTTAAGACACATGGACTGTACTATAACTGAGCTTATGTCAGTAACTGATGAAGATGAACTTATTGCAGATTGAGAAGTTGCAGAAAGAAAAACTGGAACTGCAGATTTTCTTAGACTTGTATGCACAGGAAAGCTATGAAAACAGGTAAATTGTTTTGTTGGTGCTGGGGGGAGGAGGCGAGGGTTTTTTTTTTTTTTTTTTTTTAGCCATGAGTGAATGTTGTGATTTCTTCATCTATACGATTTGTGTATTCAACTTAATATGTGACAGATTCTATTTTTTTTCTGTTATCTAATTGAGATTATTGAAATTTTTACTTTCCTTTCATACGCTGTTTGTGTTCTCGATTCCATATAAATGGACACATTTAAGGTTAATATTAAATTTTCAGAGACTTGATGGAAATCAAAGAATCAGAACGCAGAGCGTACTCACAAGCTGAAATGTTCAAAAATGCAATAGATGAACATAGTCTAGAGTTAAGGGTGAAAGCAGCCAATGAAGCTGAAGCTGCTTGTCAGCAAAGGCTTTCTGCTACTGAAGCTGAGATAACTGAATTAAGGGGCAAACTTGATGCATCTGAGAGGTTAGTTGTTTTCCTAGTGCCGATTAAGTTTTGAATATAGTTGCATACTAACAAAAATATGTTATTCTGTTTTTATATTCAGTGTTTTATATCTGAGATATACAAGTATTTAAAAAAAATAAATTACTAAGAAGTTTTCAGTAGGGTTAATTATAGTGTGTGTTTTCATCTAAAGGTCTAAATATTGTGTTGCTGTGTGTGTAAATTGAAGTTGCTTTTGATAATAAGTATAGCAATGTATAGATGTCTAAACTTGATTACACACTCAATAAATAAATGTAATAATTTTAAAGAAATGCTTTTCTACCTCTGAAGCTGAATTTTCTTAATTAAGGCCAAGCTTGGTGCATTTGAGAGGTTTGTTTTTCTTATTCAAAGAACTAACAATGTGCAAACTGGGATGTTAGATTCTATGTATGTTTTCTTTCACTAAAATAAAACATATGCATGTAAAAGATACTGGAAAATCTTAGTAATGCCGTGTTTTCACCTTTTGCTTCAGGGATGTTCTGGAGCTTACCGAGGCTATTAGAATTAAAGACAAGGAGGCAGAGGCTTATATATCTGAAATTGAGGTGCCTTGTTGATCCTTATCTTCTGATTGATATCTGGGGTTTCTGTTCCATGATAATTGACACGATGATGTTGGTCTCACTTTTCTGCTTCACCTACTCATTTTCTGATAAATTTATTATGTTCCTGCAGACCATTGGTCAGGCATATGAAGATATGCAGACACAAAACCAGCATCTGTTGCAGCAGGTGACTGAGAGGGATGACTATAATATCAAGGTCTGTGTTATTATTTTCATTGATTTTTGTAGCCTTTCTTTCCCTCCATATTGTTGCTAAGTTTATTGGTGTGGTAGAAAGCTGGCTGGTTGTCCCTGGTTTTTCAAAGAGATTTATTTTTTTGTGCAGCTCGTTTCTGAGAGTGTGAAGACAAAGCAATCACAGAGCTTTCTACTCTCTGATAAGCAGGCATTGGTGAAACAACTTCAACAAGTAAACACATCAGTAGAATCTTTTAAAATGAGAATTTCCCATGGTGAAGAGCAGGTACGGCTTCTCCTATGTAGACAAATTTTCCATTTGTTAACCTTTATCAAGTGGGTATTTGCATCCTGCAGATGAAGGCTCTCCTGACAGAAGCCACAAAAACTACTGAGGAAGACAGACACCTTGCAGTCAACGTGGAAACTGCTAAGTGGGAATTGGCTGATGCTGAGAAGGAGTTGCAGTGGCTGAAATCTGCTGTTTCCTCTTCTGAGAAGGAACATGCTCATATTCAAAAGGATATCAATGATATCGAATTGGAATTACACATTGAGAGGTAGTGTTTTGTCCATTTTGATTACAGTGCCTGCTTATGCATTTACTCTTATAAACGATCTAGGAAGCCTGTATAACTGTATACAGCTACAGTTTTGGCATGTAAGATATTGTTTCCTAGTTTCACATGCTGGATAGATGCCTTGGGTAATTGTGATAGGCTAATAGGCTCAGGAAATCATGAGCAGGGACAATGTATACAGCGATGGCTCCGAACTTTTTACCTTTCCCTGCTCGATCAGATTTTGCAAGTTTGGAAGATTTCTTCATGTGGGATGTCTTTGAGCAGCTATTAGTTGTAATACTCAAAAGTCATGTGGGAAGATTTCTAACAAGTTAGATTCTTGTTGTGCAGAAGCTCGAGGAAGAATCTTGAGCAAGAGCTCAGGGAATTGAACAGCATGGTTGCTGAGATGAGTTCTGAAACTGGAGATGCTGCAATACAGAAACTCCAATCTGAAATTAAATTTTGCAAGAATATTTTGCAGTGCAGTGTTTGTACTGATAGGCCAAAGGAGGTAAGGAAAAAATATTTGCCGCCTTTACCTTTATTTGACCAATGTTTGAGAATAATTTGCTAAATCTTCTAATGAACTGATGGATGTTGGTGCTAATTATTTGATTTGCAGGTGGTAATTGTGAAATGCTATCATTTATTTTGCAATTATTGCGTACAAAAGAATCTAGAGATTCGTCATCGAAAGTGCCCTGCCTGTGGAACTCCATTTGGCCAAAATGACATACGGTTTGTGAAGATATGAAAAATATTTGTGATCCCTCTCACCCTTTTTGATTGCTAAGCATCTTGCAGTAAATAGAATAGATTATAGTTTTTCATCTTCTTGTCACAGTAGCCCAATATCGAAACTGTGGCTTTGTATAGCTTTGGAGTCAATAGTTTTGTTCCCTCTGTTTTGTAAATGAGTGTTTAAATAAAAATATTTATTATTATTATTTTTTAAAACTGATGGTAGCTCCATTGATGGATGACCATAGAGGATAGGATTTCTGAGTTATCCATTAGAGTCAAGGATAAACATCTTCAGCTTTGCTTGGTGTTGACAGTTGGTTTTACATTTTTATTTTTAGAGCTTTCTATTTTCTTCTGAACAATTATAATTTTGGAGTTCTGTCAAAAGAAAATAATTTGTTGAGTCTTGAGTGCTAAATATCTACTGGGGATTTGTCAACAAGAAAAAATAAGACTTTACTTTTTTCTATTTTAAATAAGTTCTCTATGTAGATATGGGCTTAGGCCCTGTTTGGGATTGCTTTTTTTCGCAAAAAACCCGCTTCACTTTAAAGTTAAGCAGTTTAAGATGTTTGGTAAAAAGAAAATATCCCGATTATTTTAAAAGCAATGGCCTTTTGATAGCAGCTTTTAAAAGCAGGCTCTGGGTTGCTTTTCAAAGCTGCTTTCAAAAGAAGCAGAGATGAACATTTAATGAATTTTTTTAATTCCCAAAATACCATATTTCATTTTAAAAAATGACACTACCTCCACTTCCACATCCAACTCCACAACTTGCACCACCACATTCACTACCTCCACAACCACCACCACCGCCACCACCACCACCACATCCT